ACGCCCAAAACTCCTCAAACATCATGAGAGAGCGCACCGTGACGTCCAAAACTCCTCAAACATCATGAGAGAGGCGCACCGTGACGTCCAAAACTCCTCAACATCATGAGAGAGCGCACCGTGACTGAGCCTCTAGAATTTCCCGAGAAATTCATCCCAAACGGGAGGAAATCTAGGAAAGGAAATCTAAGATTTCCTCCCCTTTGGGGGTGAATTTCTCAGGAGATTCTAGGGTTCAGAAAACGGCAATTTCTGTCCTACGGAGCAGTTTTCCCCTAGAATCTTACGAGAAATGCATCCCCACACGGGAGGCTCGCTGAGAGTGGGTAGTGCGTTGTAGCTTCTTTATGGCTCATCTTTGCGATACTGCAATTCTGGACTGCTACGTGCACATTGCCGCGCTCCCGTGCGGAGCATCCTCAAAATTTTGATAAAAATAGCGCCCCCATCCGGAGAATCCTCAAAATTTCGTCGTTACTTCGTTCAAAACCGCGCTCCCGTGCGGAGCATCCTGAAATTTTTTGAAAAGAATCGCGCTTCCGTGTGAAGCATCCTCAAAATTTCATTGACTCTTCGTTCAGAATCGCGCTCCCGCGCGGAGCATCCTGAAAAATGTTGAAGAAAATCACACTCCTGCGCGGAACATTCGGAATATCCTTGGACGTCTGCTCGGTGCTTGCGAAGATCTGAGCGACGCTTGACGAGACGCGGGCGGTGCTGGATGAGACCCGGGTCGCAAGCTTGGTTGTTTTCGTTTTGTTGTTGCGATTTTGCGACGTAGGCCCAGACCGCGTGTGCACTTGTTGAGCAAATCCTTTTGCACGATGTCTGCGGTAAGGTCTATTGCGTCTGCCCGGAGGCGTTGCCCGAGGCGCATCGAGTCGAGCACAAGCACTGTATGTTTCTGCATTGTGTGGGCCGTGTTTTTGGATTTGGACTCATCGTGGTTTGCCGGCTGTCGGCCCAAGTAATGTTAGCAGATTCACGTCTCGTGTTTCATTCGGCGAACGTTTCTTGCTCGACAATGCTCCCAGATGGTGGACACTGCGTCGGCTCTGTGTGATGCTTGCCGGGGAGATGCATTTCATCATCTCACTAAGGATAGGATAGGAGAATGCGCAAGAACGTGTCCGTGTTATCCGGGAGATCTTGACCACTATTTGCTTCTGTACGCCTGCTCAGGAAAGTGTCTGCCGCGCATGCAATTTTGGGTGGGCAGAGGCGCTGACTTGAATCGAGGCAGCGCAGAGCATCGATTAGACTCCGTTGGAGTGGGCCTTGTGGTCGGACGCAGTTTCCGCCATCATTGTCTTGGTGACACCTCCGGTGTCTCCGAGTCGCAAGCCGTGCACGTTGAGAGGTTCCAGCAAAAGAGGCAGTACGGCAGGTTGTCTCCGGAGCAGCATCGTCGCAAACTCTTCGTGGCTGCGGCGCTGGATTCGCGCCAGCGATGTGTTCGGGCCTGGTTGGTGGACCGCTAAGTGGATGAACTCTGCGGCGGCTCTGACACTGATTCTGATGGCTGTATATTGGAAGGCGCGCGAGCCGCCGGGGTGAGTGATGATGTCCTGGAGCTCTTGCGGCCGGCTGGTACGAAGCGTTGTCGTTCTCCCTCGTCTGAGCAGGAGTTGCAGATTGGGGCAGGCTGCGGAGACTGCGCCGCGCAAGGATGGCATCCGGACATTCGGTGATTTCTGGCTTTGTCACACACGCGGGCGGCAAGACGTGCACAGCTCTTATTATTTGGCAGGGGCGCGCTTGTCTGGAGATGTTCGTCGGGTTCGAGAGTTGTTGGACTGGAACAACGCTTCCGTGTTTATACTTCCACCGGATGTCCGCAGTGGTCATCTTTCGGCTGCGTTGGAGGACTTGGTTTGCGGGAGTTCGTTCAGCTGGCCATGCATCGTGCGGAGCCACAGTCGCGGCGCATGCCTGGTTTGGGGGAGGTTTTGCGGGTTCTCGAAGACCGGGAGATGTGGGAGGCCGAGCAGTTTGCGCTCAGGAGCATGGACGAGCAGGACGAGCAGACGCGGCGGGCGAGTTCCGGGCAGCCTGAGCGGTTGAAGCTGCGGCTTCGGGAGATTCGTTCGCGCAAGGGCACCCGCGTGCGATCCTCAGGCGCGTGTGACCCGGGATGGGGAGCTGCGCTGGATCTAGTGTGACTCTCTCCGTCGATTTTCATCAAAAAGGTGCGCATCGGACTTGAACGCCTCACGCTTACGGCGAGCAACGGAAACTCCTGCAGGATCGTTTTCGGCTCGCTGTGAGTGGATAGCACATTGTAGTTTCTTCATGGCTCATCTTTGCGACGCTGCAAATTCTGGACTGCTACACGCACATTGCCGATGAGGTGCTTCGGTGTTTTATTGTTTGTGTGGGTGAGGGTGAGCGGGATCACTATCTCTTTGTTCAGGCTGCCTCTGCAAAATGTCAGACACGCTTGAATTCTTGGCTGCATCATGGCGCCGCGGCGCCGATCTCAGTCGTGGAACAGCGAGTCATCCGGATTGGATCGCCTTGGAGTGGGCTGGTGCTTCAAACGCTAGTCCAGAAATCTTGCGACTGCTGATGCCTTCAGTGTGCCTTCCTTTCGGCCGCGTGCCTTCTGCGCGGGGGCGGAGCTGGACATGTACGCGCACGTTCCCGGTAGGATTCATAGGAGAGGCGTCAGCCAGATGAGCGCAAGGTCGCGAGATCATCACCTCTTTCTCCGCCACATCTCAACTCCCTGGGAGCTGCTGAAGTCGGCTGTCAGGTGGGTCGAGGAGGCTCAAGGGGATGAGGATTTGCTTTCGACGCTCAATCGCTGAATGCTCCAGGGCGGGAACGGCGCCTGTTCGAGAAGCATCCTTCTTATCTTTTTTCAATTCTAAAGGCGGCGGCTCAGCGCGGGAATGTTTTTTCCTTTGCGGACTTCTGGTCGTTTGGGGCAGATGCTCAAGGTCGCGGCGCTGCTGCGGTGGCTTCGGCAGGCCTGAAAGGTGACTTGGAGAATCTGAAGGACATCTTCGAGTCAGACGACTGCTCCATTTTTACTCAGCGTCCCGGCGCGGAGGAGGCTAATCTGCCAGATGTTCTCGAACACTGGACTCTTCGCGAGTATGTCGAGTTGGCATTTTTGCGTGCCGCGACAGGGTCAAGCAGACGCCAGAATTTGTACTCCGTCTTGTTGTGGATGGAGGGACGAGAATCGATGGAGGCCTTTGATTTTGCCCTTGGTCCTATGAAAGATATGACTTGGATGCTTTGCGGACTTTGACGCTGAAAGGCCAGGTTTTCCATGTCTTCAGCCTCCAGCAGTGGAAGAGTCAGTTGTGGCTGATGGATGGCTGCTACAACGGGCATAAAAACGTGGTGTCAGAACTTTTGAATGTCGGTGCTCCAGAAGAGATTAATCCTTTGTTTACACTCAGGACGGTCGGAATTCCTCATCATCCGCGGGTGTATTCCTGGCCTTTGCACGCTCTACTGGCGGCTCGTGTTCTTTCAGGACTGGTTGCGGGCCAGCAGAATGAAAGTATTTTGGAATGTCAGAGATTGCTCAGACAGTGGGAACACGTTTGCGTGTTGTCGGTTCATCATTCAGTCAGTTCTTCTCGTCCTCTGCAAGTGCGTGGCCAGCTTTCTGAAGTCCACGATAGGTCCATTCGATTTGCGGCGTCCGTGAATTATAATAATAAGTCCAAGGAAGGGCATGTGTTGAGGGTGCGCTCAAGGATGAGCGCGTCCTTCAAAGATGAGGCTGGGCGTTGGTGGTTTAGACCGCTTCGCGGACTGGAGCAGCTTTATGACAGGGTCTATGAGCGCGTGGACGTCGACTCCTTGACGCAATTCTGGTGTGCGCTGGATGCGTGGATGGATGCCAAACAAGATGCCCTGGACGAGCGCCATCAATCTTGGCTGCGGCGTCTTGTTCAGTTGAATGTGGCAACGCCAGCAGAGCAGGAGAAGCGCGCACGGGAGCAGCTGGTGGATAGGTGCATACATGACTTTACGCTCTCCCGGGCGAATGCTGATTTGCTGTCGCGGAGCTTGCAGTCAGAGAGCAGTCGTTTATCATTTGTGGAGAAGCTCGCGGTTTGGTATTGGATGCTGGACCCTGCGCGTCGACGGAGCTTTGCCGACTGGCACCGACTGTTTCAGGGTGGACCCGCCTGGGATCAGCTTCTGCATGATTTTCCGCAGTGATTGTGTTCTTTTTCTGTCAGCCTTGTTTATGTTGCTGCGGGGGGGCTTCGCAGCACGCCATGCCCGATTTGCACACCAAGAGCCATTCCGCGTGACGCTGCGCCCGTCTGCATGATGACGAAAGCAAAGGTCTCTAGCAGATAGAGTTCACAAGGGTGCGCTTCGTGATATCTGCACGCTTCGCACTCACAAACAGGGATAGAGATGGAGAGAGAGAATTGCGCGGGTGTGCCAGACGGAAAAGGATCCGCTACAAGGTGAGATGCTTGTACGCAAATATCTTGACTGTGCGCATGTGCTCCTCGACATGTGTCGGTGAGCTTCGGAACCCGCTGCCAACTGCCAAATCATCCCTCCCTGGCCGCTACCCGGCCCTGGTGCCCCATCGCCATTTGCAGACATGGCTCCAGGACTTGGCAGGACCCCTTTGTTCTCCTCCTCCCCTGTTTATGCTATCATGACCCCAAAGATAGCGACAGGCCGGGCTCCGCTACCCTATCCTAGGCCTGGTCCTGTCCTAAGTAAAGCCTTTCCCCGTTGAACTAAAGGAGCCGAATTCCAAGATGGACCTGAAGGCGAGCCCTGCTCAATGAACTCTGAAGGACCCTGTCCTGAAGAACTAGCCCCGTAAGGACACCTATCCTTTTCCACGCTCAGCACAGACCTCCTGATCCCTCCACGTGCTTGGGTGAGCGGCGAGGGAAAGGAAGCTTCGAGTGAACGCACACGGTCTTCACAATCAGCTGATTCACAATTATTATTATTATTATCTGTTAAACCAGCGCAGAAAGCATGCCTGAAGGTGCGCTTGCATGGTCGATGGCTCCAGCACAGGGGAGCGGGATCGGGCGGGAAGTGCTTGGCAAAAGGGCGCGCGAGCAGGGGTCGACACGTAGGACAGGGTTGTCAGGTTTAAGGGTCGGGGCACCCTCTAAGGATAGGCATCCAGGGTTTTAGGGACAGGTCCGGGCTACCTTATTCACGTTGGTAGCGGAGCCCGGCCTGTCATAGTGGTTCCTAGGCCACTGTGTAAACAGGAAGATTCGGGGCTTTTGTTCTAACTTCTGGGAGAACTAGTTAGAAGGGGACTAGAAGACCGCGCTGCCGAGAGCCATGGGGACAGAAGCGGAACCCGGAACTGGGTCAGGAGGAGGGCCGACGAGCCACCTTCCTCTGCAGCTAATACCACGGTTCACCCTGGAGCCACGAACGTGGATGAGTACGTCAAGCGACTGCAGTTTCTCAAGGAGCTGTGGCCCGAAGAACATCTGTCGTTACTTGGACCCAGGGCAGCACTTCTCGCGGAAGGCGCCGCGTTCCAAAAAGTGAGCCGCATCGCGCCGGACAAGAGTCCGGATGGAGTCAAGATTTTAGCAGAGCAGCTGGGAGGGACGTGGGGAAGATTGCAAGTAGAGGATAAATTCCACTACTTTGAGCAAGCCATCTACCAGACCCAGCAAAAGCATGATGAAACCAATGACTCCTACATTGCCAGACACGACGCCCAATTCGAAGAGCTGCTTTCTCGCAAGGTCCAGCTGGAGGAGACCCGGGCCTACATCCTGTTACGCCATTCGCAACTTGCACCGGAAGACAAGAAGCGGGTGATAGTTGAGTCCAAAGGCGACCTCAAGTATGCCGAGACGATCAAGGCGATCAAGCTGCTTGGCTCGCACTTCTTTGGCGAACGTCAGAACAGGAATGGCTCCAGCGCTGGAACCAGCCGAGGGCAAGAGCGAAACAAGGTCTATGACGTGAACATGACCGAGGCCGACGACAGCGAGGAGATCAATATGGCCACCTACGACGAGGAAGTGGATGAAGACGAGGCTTTCGCTTACTTCTTCGAGCAGTGCGACCAGGATGCGCTCTACATAGCGGAGTTCGAAGATGGCATTATCGAGGCCGTCCAGGATTCGAACCTTGCACCTGTGTTTTTCGGCTTACCAAGAAGCCCGAGCCCGCTTCCGCGAGAAAGCGCGGTCAAGGGGCTTTTGGCCCGTCGGGAAGGGCAGTGGCAAGCAGTCGCGGGGCAAGAGCTATGGCAAGAAAGGTGGTGGTTTCGGCAAGGGCAAGCGTCCGAGGACGCTAGCAGAAAGGATCTCGACCTCGACGCGCCGCTTGCGCGGGGCGGTTGGACATTGGAAAAGGGAATGTCCAAAGAACCTGGACAACCAGAGTGGCAACCACAAGGTCGAAGTGTCCCACCTTGCGACCCTCGACGGCAAGAACGAGGAGGACAGCGACGATTCCGCCCCGGAATTTCTCCAGGACCTGCCGGAGGACGCCATCATGTACATGGATGAGCTCAGCATCTCCGACAGCCAGGCGCGAGAGGGAGTCCATCAGGCTGGAGAAAGAATTCAAGGTAAAGAGCATTGTTGCTTCATGTCACCAGAGGTGAAACGAGGCAAGTGTATAGGAGATGCTCTTGCAAGCAGATTGTTAATGATTGCCAGGCCGCAGACCTCTCGATCTCTGGAGACCAGACGATCGACACCTGAGGCGCGAAATCAGAAAGCCAGCTTAAGACCCAAACCCGGAAGCGTAGAGATAGGTGAGCCAATTTTTATTGCAACGGTTGGGGCCGAGGGTGTTGTAGACACAGGGGCTAGCCTAGGGGCTAGCCATACAGTTGTAGGAAGCGACAGGGTGAAGGGCATTTTGAGCAGTTTGAGCCGAGAGTGCCAGAAGAATGTTAGGAAAGTCAGATTTAAAGCGACGTTCCGTTTTGGCAACAGTGGCACGTTGGACTCAAAATGGGCTTTGCTGATTCCGACCTCAGAGGGCGCATGGATCAGAGTAGAAGTAGTCAATGGGTCCATTCCTTTGCTGATTTCCAACAGGCTGTTGAGAGAGCTTGATGCCATAATCCATGTAAGAAAGGGTCAAATTCAGGCCCCCGGGGGTGTAGTCCAGATGAGGTGTGACCAGCGGGGCTTGTCTATTGTAGATTTTGCTGAACTCATGCAACATGTCACCGCACCAACAGCCGCAGTGCACCTTACAAGCGTGTCCTCGACAGAAGACCAACAGCATTCGCAACAGCAGCCCACCCCAGCAGACCAAAGTCAGCAAAGCAGCGCAACCAAGACCGCACAGCGGATCACTCGAACGATCTTGTACGCGCAGACCCTGCCTCCCTGCCTCACCGGAACCAGCACGCCGTCTACGGCGGAGAAGAAGGTCATCGCCCAGGTGCTCGAGTCCGTGAAGGAACGTCTGGTGGCCAACGTGGACCTGAGCGAGTACCTGGAGGTCAAGTACACCCGACCGCCGGGAGTGACCACGATGGAAGCTTGGGGCAAGACCATCTTGAGCGATTCAACCGCCTTTGCCCAGGACCTCGACTATGCCATGTGGATAGTCAACCGGGAGCTCAAGGCTCCATGGGCGCTGAACTTGCAGAATTATGTCCGAGCCAGACTTCGAAAGGCAGCAAGGATTCTGGTGAGCCAGTCGAGCGACAAGGAGATCAAAACGCCGGACCAGACCGAGAAGGAGGACGGCTGGGAGCGGATCTCCGAGGGGCCAATGGGACCCAAGACCGTGACCGCCAGGAAGCGCGTCACCAAGGACAAGCGCGGCAGCAGCAGCCAGGACATGAACATCGAGGTGAACCACCAGGAGTTGGCTCAGAGGCGTGCGCTCCTGCTGCGCGAGCTGGGCCAGATCGACAAGCTCGAGAAGCAAGCTCAGCAACAGTCGAAGCTGCACCCGGAGAAGCCCGAGACGGAAGGCTGATGTGCTCCCAGAGTTCTGAGGCATCCCCAGCATGGAGTGCCGCGACAGTGGCACTGTGTAAAAAGATTGATGGGCGCATTCGGGAGATCGAAAGCCATTTCCAGTCACAACTCGACGGCTCCCATCAATCCAAATATGCGATGCCTGCTCTGGATGTTCTGGAAATCACCACAGGGGTGGGAAATGCAGTCAGCACAGCCGTAAGGCAACGTGGTGGTCGAGCCTTTGTCTTCAATCAGATAAAGCATCTAGATGAGTCCCATGGATCAGATTATCTCTGGAAGCTTATCCAGTTCTACGAACCCAAGCATGTGTGGATTGGTGTCCAGACACCGTGGCAGCATCGGGCAGGGCATCCGTCATGGCCTTGCCGTCTTTTGGCTGTATCAGATGGAGAATGGCAGGCATTTCCACTTAAACGGGGGGCCAAGTTTCTTTCACCACACGCCTCCGGAGATCCTGGAGATACAGGAAGGCACTCTACAGTTGAGAGGAGGATGCGCCCGAACCCGCATGAGACCACGGAACATCATTCACACCACGTCCCGAAGCACGCACCGCAACCTGGATGAAAGATACCCAAACAGGACGCAACAGCAAAGTTCTGCTCACAACATTCACGACAAGACACCACGAGCACCACGAAGCACGAAGCAGTCATACAACTTTGTTGGACAAGTGGCCGATCAATTAAGTCGCCGATGTTCCTCTTCTCATTTCAGAAATTCTAGTTGGGGAAGGGATGGCAGATCATAACGCAAGCTCTGATCCAGAAAGCGCAGTTCGCCATTTGTTCAAAAGACGTAGACTGAATGGAAAGCAGCCGGTGCTGGGATCTTTACTTGACGGCCCGCCGGAGGAACCAGCGACCTGGAAGGATGTATTTCAGATGGTTAATGCAGATGTTCCCCCTAAGGGCCGGGTATACTATGATGAGGGCAGCGAAGTCATAGGAAAGATCCAAGCATTGGTTCCTCAGTTCCTTGTCCGTCGTGCGGTGTTTTGCAGAGGCACAGTCCGTGTTCAAGGGGCCAGGGATAAGGGTGATTTGGATAGGATTCCCCTAAGGAAGACTATGGTAGTACGAAGGGATACGGGAGAGATAGTTGAAGATGGCCCTGTTGAGCAATGGACAAAGATTCCCAAGTATCATCGGGGCCGAAAGGGGATTCCTGCCAGATTCAGTGTTACCGTATACGGGCCCCACGAGAAGTAGAGAGGGTAGCTCGGATCCCAGAAGTAGCATCTGGCAGCAATTCTCTTCCGGTTCTGGATCCGGAGTCTAGACCGATGCCTCGAGAACAGAACGTTAGTCAGCCGGAGCCAGCAGTTGCGTCATCTTTGGCACCCGCAGTAATTTCGGATGAACCATTTCAGATGGAAGAAGCAGAGCCAAGGGATGTCCCAAAGGTTTGGAGATAGGTTTCCCCCCAAAGTCGATACCCCGGCATGGGCCAGGGTATTTCGCCCTTAATACGGAGGAGAGACGGGAGCTAGTTAGATTACATAACAATTTGGGACATCCTGAAGCCACTCTCTTTGCGAAATTTCTGTCGGAGCGCAAAGCTGAACCAAAAGGGCTGCAGGAGACTACAGTTGCAGCGCATGTCTCGAAGCGGCTCCGAAGCCAAAGAATGCGAGACCTTCGGCCATACATATGGATGGGGATTTTGGTGATGTCTTAGGTTTGGACATAGCCTACTGGAAGAATGGTCGGGGTCAGACATTCATGTTTACCCATGTGATCTGTGAATCCACCCTTTTCCATATGGCAGTGGGAGCCGGGAGGTCACCAGAAGCAGCTCTTTCCGACCGATGGTTCTCTTTCCCGGGGGTGCCTCAGGTTATCTATGTAGACCCTGCAGGTGAGTACACATGTGAGTTTGAGGACCCAGCTTCAGAAAGAGAACATAAAGTCAAAGGTGAGCGCAGCAGAGTCGCACTGGCAGCTAGGCAGAGTAGAATCCCACGGCCGGATCCTCTGAAAGACATGCTTAGCCGCATGGATGCCGAACAGGAAATTGGAGACGAACAAGAGTTCCGTTTAAGTTTGCGCCAGGCAGTTTGGGCCAAAAATAGTTTAAGCCGGGTGAAGGGGTATACGCCCGAACAAGCGGTATATTCGGGAAAATGTCACGTCTCCCTGGGTCGATCACCTCTGATGATGAGGCATCTGCCCATTCCTTGGCGACCAGCAGCTGTCCCGAAGGCATCGCCTTTAGGAGAAGCCTCCAGCGGAGGGAACAGGCCCATAGTGCATTTGTCAGAGCGGATAACGACAACTCCTATCGTAGAGCTTTACTCAGGCGATCCCGTCCTGCTTGTCAGGGATTTGAAGCTGGAGATTGGGCGCTCTATTGGCGTGTCCAAAAGGGCGGAGGTAGCTGTCTGAAGGGCAGATGGCATGGGCCGGGACAGGTTCTTTGTAGTGAGGGGCGTAAGGTTGTATGGATCAGTCATGGGGGACAACTTATAAGGGCCTCCCCCGAACAGTTACGATCTGCCTCCATGAGAGAATGGAGAACCATAGTGCCCCAACAGACTTTATCTCCGTCAACTGGGTCTGACAGGAACCATGGAGGGGCGCGTAATGTTGTAGACCTTGTAAGTAGTGGGGTACTGCCTTCAAGGGGAGAAGTAGACAACGAAGGGGATGTTCCCATGGGACCAAGTACAGATGGGGAAACCCTGGCGGAGCATCATGTTCCTGGCTTTCCACCGAGTCCAGAGGTTCTCGAGCACAGTCCGGACGCATTAGGGAATACTGGTGAAGATAGAGCACAGCCGGAACATGAAATTTCACCGACGGCCTCAGTGTCAGGTGAACCGGAAAGGGACATCATAATGGAGGAGGCTAGGGCGCCCGAATATTTCGAAGTTCCGGTTCCCGAAGACGACGAGGACCTTCTGTTTGGAGACACCGAATGTTTTCTTGCCTTTCCCGAACATGGACAGGCCTGGGAGATGACTATTCATGAAACCCAGGTGAACTGGGACGACCTTCCTTCGGCACAGCAAGCTTTAGAGTATGTCACGCTAGCGACCCCAGATCGTAAGAAACGAGTAGAAGTTCGTACGCGGGATTTAACAGGGGATGAGCGCGAGCAGTTTGAGCAGGCCAAAGGGAAGGAGGTAGGGGCATGGCTTAGTCATCAGACAGTTCGTCGGGTGTTAGCAGGATCATTATCTGGTGGGCAGCTTTTGCGATGTCGGTGGATCCTGACCTGGAAGGCCCCTGAGCAGCCTGGAGGGCCACGCAGGGCTAAGGCACGGTTGGTGGTGTTAGGGTTCGAGGATCCTGGGCTAGGGGATATCCCGAATGATGCACCGACACTTGGAAAAGATGCTCGACAGCTGATACTGCAAAAGGTGGCGGCCAATCGGTGGAAACTAATCAATTTTGATATCTCAACCGCTTTCTTGCAGGGCGAAGGGGATGGTCGCCAACTTGGCATACACCCACCGGAAGAGCTCAGACAAGCCTTGCAGATGAAGCCTGGGGAACAGTGTCAGTTGATGGGGGGCGCCTATGGTAGGATAGATGCTCCGTTTTTTGTGGTTTAAGACTTTGAAGGGCACACTTGAATCCTTAGGCTTCATTCAAAGCCCGTTCGACGCCTGCACTTTCAGTTTGATCACCCAAGATTCCCACGGAAAGCCCAAAGTACATGGCGTTTTAGGCATTCACGTAGACGATGGTTTGGGGGGGAGGGGATAGTTATTTCAAGATGGTGATTCAACGCCTGAGGGAAAAGTACAG